CAAACACTTTGCGACACTGCGATTTTGGAGTATTACAATGTAAACATTAAGGTGTAAACTATTCAGTGATCGCACATGTACATAAATTAACCTTAAATAAAATTATCTGGCAGTATATAATAGTCATGTTCCTTAAAATGAAGTTGTTCCGTGGTTGAGTGGATGCGTGTGTGATAAACTTATTTACCACGGAAACAAAAATTAAAAATAATAAAATTTAATAACACGTAAAAATGCTGTTAATAATATTTATTTTCGTAAAGCGTAATTAATTCTCGAATAGATTGTATGTATCGCGGACCGATGCAAATTGTGTCTCAATGATTACTAATACTAAAATCAACACAGAACACACGTTCTTTGTTTTTAAAAGCCAGACGATAAACTTTTATTATAGGGCATACTCTAACAGGATTATACTCTTACAATTAAACCAGAACAAACCCAAAATAAACATCCTCCAAGCTTATGCTCCAATTGCAGACAAACCAGAGAGCGATATTGAAACTTTCTACGAAGACCTAGACAACATTTAAACTCCATTAAAACGCAAGATGTAACAATTATAATGGGAGACTTTAACGCAAAGGGTGGGGAAGAAAAAGTAGAAGAATGTACAGGAGGATATGCTCTGGGCAACAGAAACGAAAGGGGTGATAGGCTTATCGAATTTTACCAAAACAATAATTTTATTATAGCTAATACATTGTTCAAAATGCCAAAGAGAAGACTATATACCTGGAAGACACCAGCAGATCAAGAAGGGAGAATTGCAAGAAACCAAATAGACTATGTATTAGTTAGACAAAGTTACAAGAACGCAATTATATCCGCAAAAACCTATCCAAGTGCCGACATAGGATCAGATCACAACCCAGTAGTGACCAAAATTAGGCTCAAAATGAAAATACTAAAACGAAAAACAACAAATGCAAAAATCGATACAAGTAAATTAAGGAACCCGCTCATAAGGCAACGCCTGGCAGATGAAATCAACAACGGATTAATGAATGTTAAAGAACAAATTCTGCAAAATACTGAGACAGAGAAAAGGTTATTAATAAAGACAAAAATAGATAAAAGTCAAAAAGAAATTCTAATACCAACCAGATATAAAAAGAAGCAATGGATGATGGAAGAAATTTTAGATTTAATGGAAGAAAGACGTCAATATAAGAACAAATATAATCAGAAAGAACAATGGTTAAAAGAAAAATGCGCAGAAATAGAAGAATACCAGAAAAGACATGATAGTTTTAACACACATAAAAGAAATTAAAGAATTAACTCACAAATAGAACAAGAAAACCAGGAATACTGAAAGTTGCAAATGGGAAACTTGTGTTAAAATTGCATTAAAAACAGCAAAAATGGTAAAGCATTAGGTCCAGACCAAAACCCTATAGAAATCTTAAAATACATGAATGATGAAATCTTAGACATTATAGTAGACTTATTTAACTCAGTATACAAAACAGGACACATACCGAAACAAGGGTTACTCTCCACCTTTTGTGCTATTTCTAAAAATACAAACGCTAAATATTGCAGTGAATACAGAATAATATCACTAATAAGTCACATTCTCAAATTATTCCTGAAAATAATACATGATCGTATAAATAAAAAACTGGAAGAAGGAATAGATGATAGTCAGTTTGGGTTCAGTAACTGACTAGGAAACAGAGAAGCGTTATTTGCTTTTAATGTGTTATGAAGCATTTGACAAAGTAAGACATGAAAAATTAGTCTAAATTCTAACGACAAAAAACATAGATCATAGGGACTTACGAATAATAACAAACCTCTACTGGAATCAAAGAGCACAAATCGTAATAGATAACGAACCCAGTCCAGAAATTGAAATCAGGAGAGGAGTTAGGCAGGAATGTATTATGTCACCATTACTATTTAATCTATACAGTGAAGCCATTTTTGAAGAAGCATTAGGGCGAGCGCCCACCAAAGTGGCGTGGCAGTGGCAAGTAGCAAGTAGCACGCGTCTAGCATAATGTAACCAACCCTAACGAATGATTAGAATGAATGACGTTACTGTCATTTTGGTGTAAACTGAATCATTCGTTTTCATTGGTTACATTATGCTAGACGCGTGCTACTTGCTACTTGCCACTGCCACGCCACTTTGGTGGGCGCTCTCCCTTACTATCTCAACATAAGACATGCAGATGACACCGTTTTTATGGCAAGCTCTGCTGAACAACTCCAATTACTGCTAAACAAAACAAACAGTTTCTGTGAAAAATATGGACTAAACATGAATATAAAAAAGACCAAATGCGTGATAATAACAAAGAAAACAAATATACCAAACATATGCTTGAGAAATGTACCGATAGAAAGAGTTGATAAATACAAATACCTAGGAACCTAGAGTTCAGACAATAATTATCAAAGAACCGAAATAAGAGCTAGGATAGAAATAGCAAGAAATGCATTTGTAAAAATGAAAATAATTCTCTGCAACTAAGATCTTAGATTAGAACTGAGAGTAAGAGCACTAAGATGCTAAGTGTTTTCGATACTGCAATATGGACTTGAAAGCTGGACATTGAAGCAAATACTCATAAATAAATTACAGTCCTTTGAAATGTGTTGTTACAGCAGGATGTTTAGAATAGCATGGACACAGAAGAAAACTAACACGGAAGTATTGCGAGAAATGGGCAAAGAATGCGAAATAAAAACACAATAAAAATAAGAAAGTTACAATATCTGGGACACGTAATGAGGGGACAGCGATATGAACTGCTGAGGCTGATAATACAGGGAAAGATAAGAGGAGGAAGGAGTATAGGAAGAAGTAGAGTGTCATGGTTGAAGAATTTAAGGTACTGGTTTAAATGCAGTTCTATAGAAGTCTTTCAGAGCAACAGTAGATAAAGTAAAGATAGTGATAATGATACCCAACCTCCGATTGGGAGACGGCACTTAAAGAAGAAGAAGAACCATATCTGTAGTACTTAAATAAATATATTGAGGAACACATTTCATTTTTTATTTCATTTATATTTCTTATGTGTATATTCAATTGCGAAAATGTAAACTTTAATATGAGATTGTTTTATTTAATTTTTGAATACAAAAGTTTAATTATTCGTAATTAGCTTGTCGCTACAAAGTGAACAAATTTTTTTGTTAGAAAAAACATGTTTTAATTTTAATACAGTTTTCCAGCCTTTTAATTGATCAACTGACTTTTTTTTATCAAAATCATAGACGTATAAACATAGATGGACACAGAAATAAGATACCTTTAACACACAATGTTTTGAAGCTTCGATAGAATGTGATGCTTCCGCAATGAGCATAAGCGTGCTTGAATTTTTACTCGTGGGTAATTATTCAGATTTTAAAAATTGGAAGTAGTAATAATGTATAAAAACACGTTCAAAGAATTAAAAAAAAACGAGAGTAACCGTTGCCATTTATAAATAGTTTTCAGTGCTTCTACATATAAAATAATTGATTGATATGTATTATACGCTATTATTAAATGATAATGCACACTATGTCCACACTTTATATTTTGATTACAATTAAATATATTAATCTAACCAATAAATTATTATTTTGGTTTGATAGCTTCTGTAGAGTATAAAATACAGAGTAATATTTTCAGCGACTCGCGAATAAGAAATTTTAAAACAAAACGTGACAACAGTTGAAGGTGATGAGAATGTGACCTATTCAAATAATTTTGACTTCACAATTTTATGTAAATAACTGAGTCCATCTGTGTTTATACGTCCATGATCAAAATAATCAGTCAAAACCACATAACCTTTTTTTGGAGTAAGTAAACAATGGAATGGTCTTTATTTATATGGCTTTTACTCTTCCATCCAATTACAGCATATTTAAAATAGAAGTTGATTTTTTTTTTCATTGATATTATGTACTATTTCGTTAGAAAACGATATTCTTGGCAGAAAAACCGAACTTTTCTATATAATACAATGTAAACTGCAACAGAGTAAGACTCGACACGTCAGACATGATTCTTTGGCAATGTAGAGGGGGTATTTTTTATTTGCCTTATATGTTCAATCTCGCAAAACTCCTTTTCTATTTTACTTATTCTTCCTGGGGATATAAGCGGCAAATTTGGAAATGTCGGCATAAAATTAGCAAGCAACATCCATTTGTGTTCGTGTTTTGTTTCAATCATCTTTAGAATTGATATCTTGTGTATTTGAGTTAAATGAACCATTGTTCTGATTTGCAGTTACCGAAATTCAAACCACTATAATGCTAACAGCTACTGTCATGTAGACAGACAACAATTTACTAAGGTCAAATGTTTTAGACTAAAGTAAACAAAACTATTATAAAAATGATTTTTTTTTGTTCATATCAGTAAAAAGGAACGCTGAGCACTTTGAGGATCTACTACATTTACATTAATGTGTTTTTTTGTTTTTCACATCAAGAAATAAACAGCATGACTCATTAGCTTTTCTGTGTTTTGTAGCAAATTTCAAATAATTTTCTTTTTGTTAACGTTACTTGAGATATACAGGAGATATATCTGGAATATTCTGAGGAATTCAAAAATTGAATAATATACAAGGTGTTGTATTTGACATAGGAAAATTGCTATTGGTCACTGTTACATAATACACAGTGTATCAAAAGTTTTTACTGCAAAAAATGCGCAATTAAAAGTACCAGTAGACGTGGTTGAGCGTTTTTTGAACACGTCCTCATTTATTTATTATCGAATTTATTCCATTTGGTTGTTTCACTTTGTATGTTTTTATATACTTTATTATATACTGCTAAACTGTTTGTCTACTTCGTCCAGTGATATGGAAAGTATTCAAATTTATGAATAACTCATTCTTATTTTTTATTGGTCGAACATTCAGATTGTTAGTCTTTTAAATTAAATCAGTTGAAATATCGAAAGCAAAATTTTATTGATTGTCATAAATTGTTTTCAATTATATGCAAGTGCTCAATAAATAATTGTATTCCAGGGCTTCTATAACATGGACATGGATCTGCCTCCATTGGTCAATGCTTCTAGAGTCAACTAACAACTTTCTACAAAGGATACGATTCTTCAAATGGTTACGAGATAAATTTAAAGGTAGAAAGAAAGCAGAAACGAACGATGAACCGCCACGCTTTACGCAAAACGGTCTTCAAAATAATATAAATATGCCCACTACTGGGGATGAAGCAATGAAGAGATTGTTAGCATGTAAGGGAAAAGATCCGTATAGTATACTTGGGGTAGCTCCCACTTGCACTGACGATGATATCAAAAGGTAATTAATAGTGGGATCTTCATAGTATTGGTATTTTAAGAGAAAACATATTTTTAATAAATTAGCAAAGGGTACCCCCTGTTAATATATGCAAAATGAACTCACACCTAGAATTTAATTTTTTTGTTTTATGTGTTTTAAAAATAAGACTCGGCGCAATTTTAACGCGCCTCCCCCTACCACCAAAATCGTTATTTTTTATGAACTAACACTGCTTTTTTTCGAAAAAGCTTATAACCTGTGCTTGTTTTGGAAAAGGCTATAGGTCTAATTCTTTCAGTTTGTGTGTGTTATCAAAAACTATATTTATGATTTTTTTCCAGATTTTTCTGTAAGGTACTTCAGTTTCAAAATCCCAAAAAGTGGTTTTTAAGGGTGTTTGGGGATTTTCTCCATTTTATAGACTTCAGTATAGATCAAATCAAGGTTTTTTTATAGGTTATATATAATTTGAAGGAACTTAGTTAAAAAATTACATTCCGAACATTCAAACATTAGGCAAAACTAGATAAAGCCCCAAAAGATGTTTTTTCATGGTTTTTAAGGGGTTTTGCGGGGTTAATGTTTTTTGAGATTTGTAACACCTGAACATGTGACTAAAAAATAAGACACAAAGCACAATTTTAACCGACACCCTCGTCCCCCTGCCACCACAAACGCCCTTTTTCGTTTTTATTTATTTATTATTTTTTTTGTAGGTTGCAATCAAATTGAAAGTTTAAAAAAATCACACACATTGTTAAAGCTTTTACAAAAGTTGTCTATTTTTTATAGACCCGTAGGTTGAACATACATAACCTTTTTTTGGAGATGGCTCTAGATCTATTTTTTATTTTGTTTATTTTATCAATGAACATTTCTGATTTTTTCAAGATTTTTCCAATTAGGTGCGCTTCCTTCAAAATCCCGAAAAACTAGTTTTTCGGGGGCTTTTTGGAGATTTTACCGATTTTATAGACTGTAAAATAGATGAAATTAAGATTTTTATAGTTTATATATAATTTGAAGTAACTGTTCCTTTAATACATTCAAAAATTGAGCAAAACACCTTTAAACTCACAAAAATTGTTTTTCTTTCAAGTCTTTTTATGGGTTTTTGTGGGGTTAATCATATGTTTTGAGTTATATACAACTTGAATCAATGCATCTCCAATTCATATTCAAAAAATATATGCAGAACAATCATTCCAGGCCTCAAAGAAGAGAATACAACCATCGTTTGTGCGAAAAAACGGGTTTTGAAGGGCATTTCGGGAGATTTTTACTGGATTTACCCAACTTTTTTCACCTTTCTACATCGTTAAACAGCTTGTTTTCGAAAATTTTACTTTTACAGTTACTTTAAATTATATATAATCTTTAAAAAACCTTGATTTGATCTATTTGAAATTTATAAAACGGGGAAATCACAAAAAAACCTAAAAACCCAGTTTTACGGATTTATGAAAGTGAAAAAATCATAAATATAGTTTTTAATAAAATACCCAAAGTAAAAGCCATGTCCAAGAAAACGTTATTCGTTTTTTTTTTCGAAAAAAAATGCATTTTTTGGTTATGTACACTCAACCTACAGATCTATAAAAAATACAAGGTTTTATAAAAGCCTCAACTATGCGTGTGATTTTTTTTTTAATTAAATTGATTGCATCCCAACAAAAAAATTAAAAGACGTTTTTAGTAGCGGGGGGCGCGGGTGGCGGGTTGAAATTGCACTTATTTTTTAATCATGTAGAAAGTAAAAAATGAATTCTGGGAGTGAGGGCATTTTGCCTATCTTATTGGGGGTACCGTTTGTTACATTGGTTAACAATGTTCGTACGTTTGAATTTTGAGAAACATGTATCGGTTTTAGCAATACCAGAATGGGTCATGATCCTCGTAACGACGACGTCGTGGTTTTAATCTAGAACAAATTATAGTGTCATTTATTCTAGAGTAATCATTTAAAATTCGTACTGGATCAAATTAAAAAAAAAAACTGTTGTTGGTCTAATAAAGGTAGTAAAATTCTTACTAAAAAAAAGAATTGCGAGCGAAACATGAGTGATAATCAGTTTGATTTTCGTATAAGGACTCGTGATAGGAGAGCCCCAGTTTGATCTTCAGTACTGCTTGAAAAATATCGTGGCGAACTAACAGGTTACTTATGTTCCTTCTGGGTTATAGAAAGGCATTTAACAGAGTTAAACAAAAAGATCTGGTTTAGGCACTGTAACATTGACTACAAAAATATTTTAATTATTAATAATTCATAGTGAGAATAAACATCATGTATTAACATGGGTCCATATCTAACAGGGGACATATCCATAAAGGGAAGAATTCAACAATCAAATAGTAATAACTTAAATAGCAGTACCTTAGCTGCTATTTAACAAGGGATGTTTACCATGAGATTGAAATACGAGCGAGAATAGATAATGCCGGATCAGTATGTCAATGACAGATTTTTGGAGAAGACAGAAATGTAATCTCCTACATCTCATAATGGAGGGAAACGGGTCCAGGAAGAAGTAAGTACCCGTGACTGAAGCATATAAGAGTTTCTACAGGCATGGCTAAACATTCATTATTACCAATCGCAAAAGATAGAGATCAATTTGCCATAATAATAGCCAACCTTCAGTAATGGAGAATTGTACCTAAAGAAGAATATTGCATGAAAATGCAGGGTGTAGCAGGTTTGTATATAATATAAGTATAAGATCCATAGAAGGTTTAATTTTAACCTTGCAAAGAAATTTATTTTAAACTAAAAAAGTTTGTCTTCTTCTTCTTCAAGTGCCATCTCCGTGACGGTGATCGTCGATCATCATAGCTATTTGGACTTTTGAAACGGCTGCTTTGAAACGTTCATTTGATGTACATGCGTACCATCCAGATTGCACAGCCATGATACTTCCTGTGCTTCTCTTTCCTTGTATTTTTCCCTGCATAATCTGTTGAAGTAAGCTGTATCTCTCTTCACATGTAATATGTCCGAGATATTACAATTTTCATGTTTTTATTATAATTAAGATTTCTATTTCTTTATTCATCCTTCTCTTTGTCAAGCCTCCACTTTATAAAACAAAGTAGAGGAAACGTAGAATTTCGCCAACCTAACTCTTAGCTTTAACTTTAAATCTCTTCTGCAGAGCACTCTTCACATATTATTGAAATTTGCTCCATCCTTATCTCTTCTGATTTATATATCTATGAATAAGAAAATTCTCATTATTTCTTTGAGTTTTCAATCTTCTCATAAATGTTGTCTTCTTGACGTTCATTGTTAGACTGTATTGTTTTTCACAATGTGCTATTCTTGTCACCAGTCACCGATCCAGATCTTCAACATTTTCCTCTAAAATGACAGTATCATTCGTCTATCAATATCTAATGTTGTTAATTGGAACACCATTTACATTTTTATTCCAGCTACATTTTATTTACAATTTACATTACCAACAAAGTTTGTAATTCGTACCAAAGTGTTCTCTTCTAATTATCTTTAGCGGAGCCGAATATTATAAAAATTATTATTAATAACTTTATTGATTCATCTTCTGGTCTCTAGTATCCCTAAGTCGGTCTCAACTCAGCAATCATATTCTCAGGTATTCGTATTATGTGTCCAGCCCATCTAAGTAGCTGTTTTAATGAATGTTACATCTGGTTCATTAAAGAGTTAATATAATACGAAATTATATATTTTGCGCACTGCCCTTGATAGCCCTTTATAGCTCCAAATATTTTGCGGAGTATCTTACGCTCCGCATATTCCCAGAAGTCTTTCATCCTTCTGCGTTAGATTCCATGTTTCCGCATCACATATGAATTCCGTTCTCAGCAGTGGTTTGTATAATTATAATAATTCTAGTTTTTCTTTGAATATTTTGGTGGAATTGTTATTGGATGTAATATGCTCTATTTGTAAGGTTTATTCGTCTTAGGTTAATTTCTTTGCTCGTTTTGTTGGCAGTAGTCACTAGCTAGCCAAGGGATGTGAAACTGTCAACACTTTCAAAGATATGACTTTCAAAGACTGTTTCTCGTTCCTTATTTGCTATTGGATCCTTAGTAACCAACATGTACTTGGTTTTCTCTTCGTTGATGACTAGACCGACCAGTTTCGCCGCCGTTTCCAACTCTAGGAAATATTGCTCAACATCTCGCTTGCTATGTCCTATTATATCAATATTAGCGTATGCTAACATTTGTATCGATCTATTGTAAATAGTACCGTCGCGTCGTCTCTAATTCGTGTGTCTCGGACTGCCTTTTCCAAGGCAAGGACTGCCTTTTTCAAGGCAATGTTAAATAGCAGACAAACCAAGTCATCCCCTTGTCTGAGTCCATCTTTTATCTCAAACGATCGAGAATTTTCTCCCTGTATCATAATGCTCGCTTCCAAGTTGGACATTTTCATTTTCGTTAATCAGATAAGTTTTTCTTGTATACCAAACTCATGCATTGATTGGTATGGTACTGTTCTCTTGACACTGTCGTATGGGGCCTGGAAGTAGACTAGTAGGTGATGGGTTGTTGATTGTATGAGTATTTTTAACATTTCCGTTTTTAGTTTTAGGTACCCAAATCTTGCCCTCACTATCGCTTAAACTAGAGATATCACTTCTCAAATATATATTTGATGAATCACTAGACTCCATTACTCTATATACTAGTACCCACACTATTAAATATGAAAAGAATGAAATTCTCGAAATCAATAGGTACACATAGAAAAACTAAATGCACAAGAAAACAACTAGCTTTATTTAGGTTATTTTTGTTTTGTGATTATATTAGGTTATGTATAACGTAAGCAACACGTAATTTATACAACTTTAATTTATAATTTATACAAATTTTCAGTCCGAAAAATTGTTGGGGATTTGAACAACAGTTGGAAACTGAATTATAATTGATCACTTTGTTACTGCGAAAAACAAACTTAAAACTGCCAACCGTCAGAAGTGCTTCTACGAACGCTAACTGTTAACTGCATGCGTCTGGTCGTT